CTGCTCTTCTCTCTCTACACAATTGTCTGCACCTCTACTGACCCCTCTGTCAAGCTCCTGAAGTTTGCAGACGACACTACAGTCATCGGTCTCATCCAGGACGGAGACGAGTCTGCTTATAGACAGGAGGTCGAGCAGCTGGCTGTCTGGTGCAGTCATAACAACCTGGAATTGAACACGCTCAAAACTGGAGATGATCGTGGACTTCAGGAGGAGCCCCCCTGCTCTCCCCCCACTCACCATCATGGACAGCACTGTGGCTGCAGTGGAGTCATTCAGGTTCCTGGGCGCAACCATCTCTCAGGCCCTGAAGTGGGACATTCACATTGACTCCATTGATTTTCTGTTAAGTCTTACTATTAAATGTTTTTTTCTGTTCTCATGTCAGATGTGTATGTATGTATGTTTGTATGCATGTGTGTATGTACCAGGAGCACCTGGTAAGAAAAAAAAAAATCACAACAAATTCCTAGTGTGTTTGCGCACACCTGCTGAATAAAGCTAATTCTGATTCTGATTCTGAAGTTTTAAATAATTTCAAATATCAATATTCAACGTTTTATGTTTAAAACAAAACATTTGTAACTGCAGGATAAATGCTTCCATGTCCCCTCTGAGCTGCATTAAACAGTCTGTGTAAATGAATCTAAATGCCACTTCAGATGCAGATATTTGTAAGAAATGTTTTCTTATGTTGGAATGAAAGAGTCTTCGTACCAGATCAGTGGCTCTTATGCTTACCCAAAGATACAAAATGCTCAATAGTTTCAATACTTAAGTTTAATATAAAAAAAAATACTTTTCATACTTAAGTACAATAACACATATCACATACTTTAAAACTTTTACTCAAGTAATATTCTTAACAGTGACTTTGACTTCTACCAAAGTCATTTTCTGCTGAGATATCTATACTTTAACTAAGTGTGGCTTTCAGGTACTTTATACACCACTGGTTTTCTCCAATATTACATTAAGTAATTTTAAGTATTAGGCATTATCATCTGAAAGATCACAAGGTTAAAGGGATAGTTCACCCAAAAATGAAAATTTGATGTTTATCTGAGAGTGAGAGTCATAAAACATACACAAAACCAAATTAAACCCTGCGGCTCGTGATGATACATTGATGTGTAAAGACACAAAACGATCGGTCTGTGCAAGAAACTGAACAGTATTTATATCGTTTTTTACCTCTGATTTTCACCGCATTGTCTGAACTGTCCTGAGCGCCTTGCCGCCTTTGCGTCTTCTTCTTCAGCCTGCGCGTGAGGCGC